AAAAAAAATCAAAGAAAGTTTCAAGGAATTTGCTTTTTGGGAAGAGATAATTAGTTGGATAGATGAAAGTCATCTTTTGAGGGTTAGTTGGATTAGTGAAATACATATTCATGCAATTGGGATGGAATTTCTGTCAAATGAAGAACAAAAATGGAATTACTCGATGTCAAACAAATTAAACGAGTAATAGTCTTTATTGTAGTGATTATTATAGTGAAACGTAGCGGTGGTCCTATCTTAGATACTTTTTATTACCACACATAATAATTTGCAGAGGAGTTTGTTAAGTCATTTTTTTTCAAATACAAACAAACAATAGGGGTAAGCAAACCGTATTGGTTTGTGTCAAGTTTTACCAAAGGAATTTATTCATGCATATTTCGGTTTATTTATGGTTTAGTTTAATGCAATGTTGATTTGGTTCAATTGATTAATATTTTATGCCTTTAATATGATTACATATATTTTTGATATATCCTAATGATCACTTAACAACATTACTTTTTTCCTCCTTCTTCATGTTAAGAAGCTCACTTTCTCTAAAGCCTCTTTATCATTTTTTCTCATTTCTTCACACCTCATGAAAACATAATTAATAACTTCTTGATCATCTAAACCATAAACTATGTCCGTCATTACTAATATAAGGGTCCAACATCTCTTAATTGCATAAACTCCAAACCACATAAATATCTTGCTAAACAACTTATCGAAAATAGACGTAATTCTCAAAAAGTAAAAAGAAAATTTCAGGAAACCTTTTTCTTTGGGTATGCAAGGATTAATTATGGTAGAGTCGAACTTGACACTACCAAGTTCTTCTTCCATCCTTTATCAAAAAGAGAAAGCTCTTCTTCCATTTTTCTCCTCTTAAGAAGCTCTTCTTCAAAATTTCTTCACATTTCTTCACAAACAAAGACACAAAAATTATTATTTCTTCTAAATTGAAACAATGTTGACCATCCTCTTTGTTTTGTTGTCAATCATCTCTACAACTCACACTTGTGAGCATATGTCAAGGTTTGAAACAAGGGGATACTTAGTCTACAAAGTCTCACACAATGGATGTGGTACCTTTGCAACTATACAAGAAGCGATAGAAGCAATTCCAACTTCAAATCGAAACAAAAAGCTTATACTTGTGGATTCCGGCATCTACATGTTAGTGTTTCCTCTCAATCATCTTTTGTTTCCTTACAATTTTTGCATTGTGTGATGAGTTTTTTTATCTTGTTAGGGAAAGGGTCATTGTTCACAAAAACAAGACCAACATCTTGATGCAAGGTATGGGTTACTTGAGCACATCGATTGAGTGGAATAATACAGCAGCTTCTTGCAATGGCAGTACTTTTGCTAGTTTCTCGGTTGCAATACTTGGAGACAAATTCACGGCCAAAAATATAAGTTTCAAGGTATAAATATCCACTTTTATGGTTTTCTTGGGTTTGAAGATACTAAGCTTTTAGATTTTTTTTTTGTTTTGTGTGGAATTTGATTTGGTTCTCTCATCTACACAACGTAAAATGAAAAGATTTTTGCTTGGCAATTGAGGTAAAGGAAGATAACGAAGTTTGGAAGTGTTGCTTCCCCTGTTTTGTTTCGTTTCATGATTTCTTTTTCCTTCTTTTGTGGACAATTTTTTTGATTGTGTTACAGAAACTAATATTGAACTTGTTCCC